GTATTCGATAGATAGAAACACAGACCTGGAGAGGTATTTCAATATTGATGCCAACAGTGGAGTAATAACAACTGCCAAATCTTTGGACAGGGAAACTAATGCTGTTCATAATATCACAGTTTTGGCTATGGAGAGTCGTAAGTAACATCTTAAACATTTTATTGTCTGCTTATATGTAAAACTTCAAGCTTGATTTTGATGAGCTTCACTGAGAGAAATTATGACAGTTTCAAACCATGACAGATAAAAATAACTTCTTACTCAATGTAAAATAAATTTATGTGATAAAAATTAAGAAATACCACAGATTAAGTATTTGCTCTTTCTTTTGCCTCACACCTTGTGCAGTCTTTTGACTTCTGAAAAACAAGTACAATGAAGGATGAAATATGTTAAGTCAGCAGTCTCAGACCAAGTATCACTAGAGAAAAAGTGATATGGAGTATAGAGGAGAGCAGTTAGCCTATCTTAGTGATGGCAGAGTTGACTGCTATTGATCAACCACAACATTCTTAAAAGGCATGAAAGAAAGGGGATATGAATGTTTGTGTGGTTTCACTTTCCTGAGTCGAAGGTAAGATTGTGAAGGATATTTTGTCCTTGGTATCTTTTTCGTTATAAGATGAAAAATGCTGAAGAATCTAACACTTCAAGCACATAAAACAAAAAATCTGTTAGTGCAAGTTTAAACCTAAAATTGTTCAGCTCCTATTATATTCTATGAAAAACTATATCTTTTCACCTTTGTATTTGACAGATATATTTCTTCAAACTTCATCCTTATTACTGTTTTGTTTGCTCTAATAATAAAAAAGTTGTCAGTTCTCTGGATTGTAATTCTCAAAATCCTCACTTCTTGCTTTCAGTGAAGTTAATTTAATATTTAACCTGAAAGCTAACATTTATCATTTCGTGTCTGTATGAATTTATCTTGTATTTTCAAGAGTAGAATTTTGGTCTAGGAGGACAGCATAGAAACCAAAATTTTCCTGGGTAGTAACAAAACTGACACAGTAGCCGAGGGACATACCTGACACAAGTGAGAATCTAGGAGCAGAAATAATACCTTACAATGTTTTAATTTACGTTCATGGCCAGCTTAGTTTTCAAAAAGCTTAGATCAGCAGAGGAAAAAGTTGGTACAAAAATTGCTTACTCCTCTGATATTTCACATGTGGAATAAAAGAACAAAACAAAACACTTTGTGATCTACATCTCAAAGCATTGTTTTAAATACTTATCATATTTACTAAAATGCGGTTGCAATACCCTGTAAAAAGTTAGATACATATTTGAAGGTTTGTACAGTTTTTCATTCTGTCTTGCTCTATCACTGATATTACCATTTGTGGTAAAAAAAAAAAAAAAAAAAAAAGATTCAATCGCTCATTTCCCTGCTCTAGAACAGAAGCGTTATCTAGCAAAATAAGTACAGCACTCCCTGACATCTTTTATGCTTAGTCCAAAAGTATTTACTGTTTAAAACTAAATTATGACATTGGACCCTGAAGAGATTCATATTTTAGCTAGAGATGTGCATCAGTTTAAGAATGTAATTAATATTTATGGAGTTCAACATGTTAATGACAGTGTTAAAATACTTTCCTCTGTGTGCACTTTAAATATTTTGGGATTTGCTTGGGAATACTGCTTCCTCTTTTTTCTGTTATACATAGCTGATGAAATTCTGTTTTTAACTTCTTAGTAGCCTGATCAATCTGAATTTCAAAAAAGATTTATTTAACCCCTAATAACCATGCTATTCCTGATATCAATAGTGCTGTTCCGGCTAGCTATACCCCTTGGCAATGGTTTTACATCATCTTGCTCTTATCATTCCGTATGATGTGATTCAATGTTGTGATTAATGTGTTAGATTTTCATTTTATCCCTGAGAGTAAAATCTTGGTTTAATTGAACCAGCTGGAAAACATAAACACTGTTTCCTCTAAATCCAGAAGATTAAGCCAGGAGCTTTCTTTGTCCTTCTAGGAGGGATTGTAATTGATTTGATTTGTATATGCACAAGAAGAGTGAAAATGTAAAATGTACTGATCCAAAGAATAACTTGCAAGGAGCTCATCTTGATTGTTTTGCTGGCTTCTTTTCCTATAGAGAATCCAGCACAGATTGGGAGAGGCTATGTAGCCATCACTATCCTTGACATCAATGACAATGCCCCTGAGTTTGCCATGGAATACGAGACAACTGTCTGTGAAAATTCCCAACCTGGGCAGGTATGGCTTGATAGCTTGTTTATGTTTATTTTTTTTTTTCAGATAGGCAGCCATTCATTATGAAAGCCTTCCAGCTTTAAGATAAAATATAATCAGATTATAGCAGTAAAAATGATGCTTTGTTGTGCAGCACAAGCAGATTTTAATCAAACCCTAACATCTCCACCATACCTCTGAAGAGAAAGACTCAGGTGTAAAAATTGCCTGTTGAAGGTACTATTAAAATTTCTCATTCTTGCTAATATAACTGACATTTTTCTAAACTCACTTATTTTTGAATAATATTAAGAATGGGTACTGCCTCCTAATTTTTATGGGAAGTAGGAAGTCATAACATGGAGGTTAATCTGAGACTAAAGGCCTACAGTTCCTGAAATGAGTACACGTTTTTATTTCCCTTAGGAAGTATGGGACATAAGGCCACAATTTCACAAGGGAGGTGTATTCCTACCATATTCCCTACTGTAATTTAACTCCCTAATTATATTCCAAGTAGTCATGTACTCAACTAAAAGTATCTGGTGTTGTTTATCCTTGGTGTCTCTCATATTTGCAGTTTTCATCTCTACTTTGTAAGACCTCAGAAAATATGTATACTTTCTCGTTCTCTCTTCTCTCTTCCCAAAAACTAGTAGATGTTTCACTCATATTGATCCCGCATATTCCCTGGGCAACTTCACACTTCTGTGCCTTCTCCCAGAAAATTGTCCTTCCAGTCGAAGATCTTGTTTATTGTATATTTCAAAATCACAGTGTAATTTGAATTCTTAAAAGAAAACACTACAATCATTAGCTTGAATTAATGAGAAACACAGAATACACGTACTCTTATTGAACTACCTGTTTATTTTCCCTATGACCTAGTCAAAATGGTTAGATCTGCATATTCATTCTCTATGGATTTTCAGCAATGGTGACACTTTTTTTAGAGGCAGATTTTGACAGAATTTTAGAAAATCAAATTGGAAAAATAATGATAACAGTAAACAAAACAAAACAAAACAAACAAACAACCACCACCACCACCACCACCAAAAAAAAAAAAAAAACAAACCCAGAAATGTTAATATACCTATGATTTGTCTTTCTATTTTTCATTATATTAAAAAAAAAAAAAAAAAGTACCATGTATTAAAATGCCCATAGGCATAATCATCTCCTTGGGAAAGTTTACAACATTGATTATAGCCATTGAAAACTATATTAAGGGCCATCCTGAAGATGCGCTTCTTCCACTTCTGTGCAGTTCATACTCCAAGCTCTGGTGAATGACGGGACAGAACTTTCTCCCAGGCCCTGCAGATTGTTGCTTTTGGCCACTAATGTTGGTACAGCAAAAATAAAGAGTTGAGTCACATTTTAATTTTAGTAGTGTCTGTACATGTTTAGGAGATTAGAAAACCAAAATGCAAAATAAGCAGGACTCAAGAGAGGGTTGATACTTTGATAGCTGGAAGAGAGGTTATACAATGTGCATGTACTTACTCTTCTTACCATTCCAAACAATGAAAGCACCATGTATCTCAAAACAGGTGATCCAGAAAATCAGTGCAATTGATAAAGATGACCCACCAAATGGCCACCAGTTCCACTTCAGTTTAACAGCAGAGGCAGCAAATAACCACAATTTTACACTGCAGGACAATAAAGGTAAGGACCTTTTGTTTGGGTAAATATTAACTAACACCTTTCATTTTGAAGATATCATTCTGATTATGACCTACATAAACTTCTATTCTGGTAAGGACATAAATTAAACTACAGTAAGCCTGCAAAATAATTTTATATGTAGATTATTTGTCAAGGGAATTAAGCTGTTGTTTGAATTATTTAAAGCCTTGGGCCAAACAGAGCAGCTTCAAATCTTTCTTTTCCTTTTTTTTTTTTTTATTTTATTTTATATTTTTATTTTTCAGGTCACTCTTCTCACATTTTTTTTCCCTCCTATTTTTAGGTTTTTATCTAAATTAGATTTTACCTTGGGGCAGTGACTGAAAAACATCCAGGAATTCATGTTTTATTATTATAAGTCAGGGCATAAAAAAATTAATGCATGGTAAATGGAGAGGGTTTGTTTTGTTTTGTTTTGATTTTTAGAAAAACATATCTTTTCAGTAAGTATACCACCACCTATTGAAGAATACTTTTGATAATGGAATCTGCGTACAATACTTACACAGACTTCTTATGACTATTTCCCTAAAGACTTATGCAAAGACTCCCGCTGACATCATGTTTCGATTAGCTAACATATCTGAGAACACACTTCTAATTACTGTTCTCATTAGTTGCACTGCACAGTAAGGCAGCTGGGCATGTATCAGTCAGTATAGCTATTAGCTCAAGCAAATAAAACTAAATAGACACTACGTTACTCTTGCATTGCTCTTTTACGGATCAGTACTAAACCAGAGCTACAAAGTCATCCTCATTAATAAAACAAGAAAAAACAGACATATGGTGGACTAAAGGATACGGTTTGTACAGACAGACTTTGAACAACATTCACTAAGTATAACGTGTCCTAATAAAGTTCTCTCACACAGCTATTTATTGTCTTACCCCGTGTGTAGTTACTGGCATGCTTAATTTTCTTCATGTGAGCAGCCTGCAGTTTGAAACTAAAGACTGTAATAGTAATAATGATCAAAATAAAAGAAATGGATTAGAATAAGACTCTATTCAGAAATATGACATTGTTACAAAAACTGTAAAGTATTTAATGAAAAGACCTCTTGCAAAGAACTTATAATTTGGAAAAAGTAATAATATACTCTTGCAATGCCAGTAAAATCAGTGGAGTTACAAGTCACAGCAGCTGTTGCCTCTTTCAGTGTTAATTAATTTTATCCATATATAATATGATGCTATATGAAGAAGTGCTTTCATATTTTGTCAGATAATTCATAATAGATGACACAATTAGATAACTTTACAGGGCTATTTATCTACCTGTCTATAAATAGATAGATAAATAGATAGATGGCTAGATAGATAGATAGATAGACCACCCCACCTTTCTATACATTACAGGAGATGTAACTCCCTGCCTCTCAGGAGCTGTTAACATGTATTGAACACAGTGAGTTTTGCACATATTTTTTTGGAATACGTGGACTTTTTAATCACCTAACTCAGAGCAGCATCGAACTACACATTTTAGACTGATTATATTAGTCATCCTGACTCTCAGATGAGACCAAAACCAAATGCATGTGTTTATTATGTGTATAATTACCTGTATTTGTGCACCAACTGGATTTTTTTTGCATTCAAAACATAGTTCATTGGCCTTCAGAACACGTTTTCCTATTATTATGTTAATCCTTTCTACTAATATGATAACTCTATGTGAATAATTTAAATAGATCCTTGGACATTAGACCTGAAACAGGTATATAGGTACTTAATCTGATCATCAAAGGGTAAATTTTTTCAATTTTACAATGGTCTTATCTTCAGCTGTCTAACAAGAGTGTGCTACTCTGAGCTTATCTAAAACTAAATAGACCTCTGCAGTTTTTAAACAGTCTTTCATGGAAAATAGAATCTTTTTTTTCTTTAGCTGGGTATCATTTTTCATCTGATATTATCTCTGCAGCTTCAAAAATATATGACCAGGAAAGGTAAACATGTTGAAATAATGTAATGTGCTTATGAAGTCTTTTAAGTGAAAGACTGTATTATTTATAGGCTTATGTTTTAGAAAGATCATATGTTTAATATTTATTTTTTATTCCTTTCTCTAGATAACACTGCAACAATATTAACAAGAAGAAATGGGTTCCGAAGACAGGAGCAGTCTGTTTTCTACTTGCCAATATTCATTGTGGACAGTGGATCACCTTCACTTAGTAGCACTAATACCCTCACAATCAGAGTCTGTGACTGTGATGCAGATGGTATTGCTCAGACATGCAATGCAGAAGCATATATCTTGCCTGCAGGACTTAGCACTGGAGCTCTGATAGCAATATTGGCTTGTGTCTTGACACTGCTAGGTACGTCTTCTTCCTGTTATCCTTATTTTCCGCTCAATATACAGTACAAAAAGATATATATATATAGATATATAGAGGTGTGTATATATTTGTATATTAGCTTCAACACACGCACAGCAGATCTGATTTCTGTTAACAGGGATACCTAAGCTTCCAGGCAGAACAGCATTCTGTATCATGAGCCACAAAAAATTTTTAGTTTGCAATTTTCAAGTTCAGACACTGTTTCTATGTCAAGCTGTCTCTAGATGTATATATGAAATAATAGTATTAAAAAAAAGATCACTTACATCAAATTTAAGAGATAGGTAATGCAGTTTATGGAAGTACTTGATTTAGCATATTCACTGTATAATCAGTATCACTGTGTATCACTTTTTCAGAGATACAATTATTATTAAACATTAATTGATTTGCATACAACAAAAGACATTCAGAAAATACAATATGCAATTTACTGATGGGAATCATATTTAATTGAACATCTTCTACAGAATGATCTTTTATTAATTCTGTAACTGGTAGCACAGTTGGATTTTATGTGGTGCAGTGAAACTGCAACTAGATAAAAGACAGTGGAAAACAGTGGAACAGTGTCAACATCCTAGTTTGGTTAGCATTTCTCATTTCATGCCTAGTCCTTAAACAAAATGGCTATATGGTATTAGTAAAGGCCCAAATCGAGGAGTAAAGATGAAGGATCATCCTGCATCTACAAGTTGCAGAATGCAAGTGAGCAAAAGTTCACATGCTTAATGAGGGTACCAATTCAGCATACAAGAATTTTCTTGTATGTGTTGTTATCAGTGGAGATATTCTTCTGTTTCCTGGCTGGACGTATCAGTCTAAGGGAAAGGGGAAGACAGTAGTCTCCTCAGTTTGGTATAATCCCAGCGGTGATTTACCTGTCACTCTTAGCCAAGTAATTTGAATAGGTCACATGAGGAGACTTTTGCCCACACTTCTGTTCATGTCAGTATTTTAACAATGTATAGCTTTCTCTTCTTATTGACTTTAATTCACTTCACTGTAAACCATTAGAAGAAAATGTTCCTTCTGCTACAAACATTCCTAAAGGACTCAATAAAGGAAATCCTCTTTCATTGTTGTTACTGATTAAGAAAAATCACTGCTTCTGCAATGAACCCAACTGACTTACTCAGTAGCTATGCATAGGAGGTGGCATTTCCAAGGTTTAACATCTTTGTGACAAAAAAAAACTTACACTATAAGATTGTTTAAATTCATTCAACACGTGGTCAGGCCTAGGTTTAAGGAGAAATAAAAGGGAATGATTGACAAAAGTTCTAATGAACATTTTCAAGTACTATTTTTCTAGTAGCATTTCTGTGACATTTATACACCAAAATAAACTTTATTTGGACATGAAGCTAAATGGTAGAGTTCAAAAAGATATACAAAAGATTCTCTCATATCAGCTAGAATTGACATCAGTGGAAAAACACCCATTTAAAACTTTGTTCCAATGTACTTAAGAAGAAAAGTTCTGTAATAATAATGATTCACTCTCTCAGAAATTGAAATGTCATCATTTCTGTTATATATAAAAAGGAAGTTTCTGAAGATTACATGAGAAACTACTGTAGATACAATGCAGTCTGGCCTGGGCGTAAGCTTTTCTTGACAAAGAGCATATGTCTTCAAGGAGAACATTGAGTGGAGACACAGCATGTTACAGGGCAATAACTTGCTTATTCTATTCAGTACACCAGGGTTCAAATGCAACCAATAAATCATGAAACCTGATGTTTTATTCTGGTCATTTTTATAGTGTGCCAAACAAGCATTTAGTAAAGAATTGAAGATAAGCTGTCTGAACATAATATTTGAATAGTGGTCTGTGAACTGAAGAGGAATCTTGCACATGACCACCTTAACATTAATGTTTTTTTGTCAAAGAATTGGACTTCTAAATTCAGCTGTCTGAATGCTTCACCACTGTTTATCTAAATAGACACTTGTACATGCTGTCATCACTTCCAAACCAAACTGTTCCTTTTGGGTACAGTTCAAAGCTGCAAGCACAGTTCAGGTTGCATTTTTATGCTAACCCTGACTTTGAGTCCTGAATTTTGGTACTGTATCCTGCTGCTGTTTGTTCCCAGCCAGGTGCCAGTCTTCACGAGGAAGAGGTGCATAAGCATTACTGCTGCCCAGTGAAACCCCAGTCAAGTGTTTTTGCTTATCTGGTCCCAGAGCCTTTCTTATTCACTCATATGTTCCTAGTGGATATTTTCTGGGATCAGCTGAATGGTAGTACTGCTAGGAATTTATTTCCTCCTTTTCCCTTTTTCTTTTCACATCCATACCTGACAAAAAATCCTGAAGATCCACTAGCACAGCATGAAAAATAAGCTTCAGTTGCTGGCAAGTAGTTCCAGGGCTGGGAGCAAGGGATGAACCTTTTTATGTAAGAGTTTATCAGTGAAAAGAAGAGACAGGCTACTGGATCAAAATTTTTTTCTGACACAAGATTAACACACAGTGAAAATCCAGGCACATTCATCAATGTCATCTCAATGTGAGTGCCAGTTGTAAAGAGGAGGAGGCATGAGATTTGCATAAATGTCATGGATACATGCAATCTGGCACTAGTGTCTTGAATTCTCAACAAGCTCTGGTCTTCTTAAAGTTACTATGATGTACATTGATATTTGGGTTTGTCCCATACAAAATTTTGTCTAATAAATAGCAATTTGTCTTGAGCAACAGTCAGATTATCTCAGCAAGATTTCTTAGTATCATTATTTTTACTTAAGTGACCAATCAATTTTATGTAAGTACAAAGTATTCACTAATGATAAGACAGAAGAATGTTACTAAATCATACTAATACATTATAATTTCATATAATGCACACCATTTTTTGAAACTAAAATAGTTTTAAAAGTTAAAAATATTTTACCAAAATCTTTTTTCTCTCCTCATATTAACTGATAGAGATTAAATTCTAAATTTTAATCCAGAAGAAAGTTCCAGTGCTTTGTTAATTACTCAAAACAGATTTATAATTATTCACTCTGCAGTAAGGCTATGATTTAAAGAATTATTAAAAAAAAAAAAAAAAAAAACAAACAAAACTTGTAATTTATTCTACAAAAAGCATATGAAAATCTAGTTTGTTTTCATTTTAGATTGTATATAATTTGTAGAGAAGTAGGAGTTTTTTAACTCCTCTGAAAATTATATGGTAATTTAATTCAAGGTAATTTGTTTTTCAGTCCACAATAATTGCTTTTGTAACAAGTGTTTAGCATAAAATGTGTACATAAAATCACAAAAAAAATGTTCACCTGTAGATAACCCAATCATAGTTGAGAGGTTAGAGATTTTCTTTGTATTGAAACAATGGAAAGCTAGATTGACTTAATGTTTTTTCATTATTTTTATCTTCCGTACTTCTGAATTTAATCTATTAGTACCACTTATTTTCTTAGAAACACTAAAGAAAGCCTCCTATTAGTTTGATCCTAGAGTTTACAAGTTAATAATATGCTGATTAAACTTCAAAATACAGGTTTAAATTTTTATTTTGTCAGTTGAAAGACATGGAATTTGTTATTATTATCACAATACCTACAAGAACACAATTAAATCAGCACAAATAGTATGAGTCATAAACAAGAAGAACCAGTCCTAATCATAAGTATCTTATTGTCTAAATAGGTAAAATGTGTACAGAATGTGATTATGTAGTTTGTGTGGGTTTTGGTCTTACAGTTTTAAAAGTGATGAATCTTTAACTGTTTTAATTTCAAGGTATGTAATTAAGTCATTTAAAAGGTAATTGAGTAGGCAATGCATGAGCTGTTTTCTGAAAGTTTTAGAGTTTATTAGGGTCACTCAGCATGGGCATTTAAAGGTCACAGTCAAGTTGCAAATACCAATCCAAACTGATTAAACAACAGTTATATATGAAGCTTGTTAAATGAGAATTAAATACAGATTTCCTGATTCTCGGCCTCTGTAATCCCCAAATCTCATCTGATGGTACTGGCAACTGCATGGTATATCTAAATAGATTATTAGTGTGATGCTTAGATGGCTGAGGATTTCCAGTCTTCAGCTTTATGAGTCATGACACACCTAAGGCATAAAACAATGTGCAGATTTGCTCGCAGCTGATGCAGTTTATTGCTATAGCAAATGCCAGGTTTAAGGGTATAGTGTATACACAGCATGATAATGCTTGTGATTTAGCTCTGTCCCTTACTTCATAGCTCTGCATGGAGTCTTTTCCCTCAGGTTGCCTCAGGGTTTTTATGGCTTCCTTACAATTATGTTGGAGTTGCCTTGAGTACAAAGGCAAAGATTAATAATAAAATAGAGAAATATGATCAGGTGACCTAAATCTGACTTTTTACCAGATCATACCAAAATGGAAATATCATAATAATTCCGTAGAGAAAAATGGCAAAACAAAAATCCACCCTTGTATTCAGAGGTGTTTGTTTATAGACTGATTTAAGTAAACAGAAACTACTGATATTATCATTACATCTATAGTGACAAAAGGATAAAACTACATATTACCACAACTAAAAGGAATAAAAATGACATTTTATTTTGCCTATTGTATCTGTGAAATAAAATCAACATTTCTAACAATTCAGGTAAATCAGAACAAAAAAAGTTAATGAAGTTCTATCTTTATTAGTTCTGGTTATTTAGTCTTTATAATTACTTAATTCTAATACTGATTGGTTTATTTATTGGTTAAATCACATATGAAATCAGTATTGCCATTTCATCTCTTTGTCATGAGTGTGGTGTACCAGTATAGAGACAAACTAGTGGTCTCAATGTGCAATGTGTATGTCCCTAAAGCTTTTCCATTGTATTTCTTATTCTCTAAAAAGCATAAAATTAGGTTTTCTAGATACTCAACCAGACACTAATTACTGACTTAATCTCTGCTTTTGTGATAAATGTATGAAAAAAAAGCCCACCATGACTTAATAAGATATAGATAAAATTTTAAACCATTTGCACAGGGCTTGTAGTCATGTCTGCAGTACCTGCAACACAGCTAAATCTTTGTTCATTTAGAGGTTAAACTTTATTTTTCATAGCTGTTGGAAAGGCTAGAAATTAATAATCTCATAAAGACATCTAAATGCTAAAATATTTAACCTTTAGAAAGACTATATTTTTCTTGGTTTCAAGCAAGTGTGAGATGTACAAGAAATAATATATAAAACATTCTCTGTATCTTGATTTTTAATGTACATTTAAGCGGACTTGCCTATTAAATTTCCTATTTTTTCACTTATTAACAGATATTTAACTTATGTCAATATTTAAGTTATTTATATTGACATATTTAAGTTATGTCAATAGCCATCTTGGATTAAATGTATATTTGTACTGTCAATGAGACAATTTGTCTTTCACTTTAGAAATATATTTTATAATAAGGAAAAATATTGAGTGGAGTGTAATTGTTGTTTATATGATGACAATTTTGTGTTCTCTGATGTATAATTTACAGCTCAGTTTGTATTATACAAATATCAGAATGTTTTGAAATCTCGTAAAAGACATTCTAGAGGTCAAAATCTTATATTGTCAAACTGCTTATGTATATGTTGTTCAAAGCAATATGTCCCAAACTAGTGGCTTCTAAATTCTATACATAAAGCATGAATCAGGAAGATGCCAGGGGCAAAAAAGTGAAAGAGTGATGCTGATGCTGCAGTAATATAAAGTCACAAGGCATCTGTTAGTTGATGGATCATTAGATGTGTGCCTGGTAGCTAGTGAAAAAAGGGGAAAAACATTGCTTAATACATTTTTCAAAAACTTCAGAAAAAAAGATTGAACTTGCTCCCGTTTTATTTTTAGAAATGCATGGCTCCAAATAAAAATAAAAAGAATTGCAGGAATTCCACCTTTAAAGTCATCTTACTCTTTACCCAGCTTCAAATAGTACTATAACATCTGTAGATAAATGATACAGTTTTCTGTATGCACTGTCTCTGAAGGACTGGTTTATTCTAACCAAGGGATCCCAATATTGAATCATGCCTCATGATGACTAGATTGATGTTGATTTTAAGAATTCCTCCATGAAAAGAAGGGCTTTCAAGAATGGTAGTCCTACATCATAAAGTTTATAGAGGCCACTTTTGAGATTACACAGGGAAACTCAAGCTTAATTTTATCTATATCAACTTTTGCTTTTCCAGATGTTTCTACAGCATTTAGCTGGCATATCAAGGTACTGTAGATAAAAATTGTAAGCCTTAGACATATGAATGCATATAATCACATATTCTTAAAATTAAATAGAAACATAAAATCAGAAGAGATTAATTGAATGTGAAATGACACTTACTTTTAAACATACTCTTATTTTTACAGTCATAGCAATGCCTGCTATTTTCTAGGAGTACCATTAACTCAGCAAATGTAATCCAGATGCTACAATATAGTATTAATCATTTTCTAGGAGGGTGATTCACACTCCATCATGTCCCACAGATGGGTGCAATATTCATATTACTAGTTCCATATATTGTGTGTCAGCAATGATGTTTTTCTACCAAAACTGTATTTGCACAAGAGGAGCCTTGAGTTAATTTCTCCCAGTTCTTTTGGCTGTCACTGTTATTTAGTATAAGCTTTAAATCTGAAAGAAATTTTAAGGATTAAAATTAAAAAAAAAAAAAAAACAACAATATTATTTCTAGCACTGACCAATCCAATAAAATTCAGCCCTAGTAGTTCTCATTAGATGTAATTCATAAACCTGAAATACAGTACTTTGCACTTTATAGGAAAGTGAGATTCTATATAGAGTTACTTTTAATCCATGAACTAAGACAGTCTTATTTTACACTTTGCTTAACAATTCAGTGTTCTCCTATCTATAGTTTTGCTGTTTGGTTGGTTGGATTTTTTTTTTTTTTTGTTTTGTTTGTTTGTTTGTTTTGGTTTGGTTTTTTTTGTTTGTTTGTTTGGTTTTTTGTTTTTTTGTTTGTTTTTTTTTTTTTCCAGGAGAGTTTGGTCATATACTCTTAATTCAGTCACTTCCTAAACTCTGGTTGTTAAATTCTATTCAGTGACTTTATGAATGTGTTTTTATCACTTGGGCAGGTAAGAGTTCAGGAAAAGGTCTTTTTGTATTTCATGGCTGTGAGATTGTAATAGTCAAACAACTAATCCTAAAATTTATGTTTAGTGAACAGCATAGGATATAGAATTAGAGATGAAGATATTAATCCAGAATAGTTTTGGAAATAGATTCTGTAATGTCTAAAAAGCTTATGGTTTAAAAGCTGTTTCAGAACCTGCTAGGTTTCAAATCTAATTACATAAATTGCCTGTTATTTCCTTGGGTCTTTGCCATATAAATTAATGAATACTTCCACCACTAGGAAAAATATGAGGAAACTTTAACATTGCTAAAACTCCAGTCTTTCTGTGTTCCAGTTCTTGTCTTGCTGATTGTCACCATGAGGCGACGGAAAAAAGAGCCACTCATTTTTGATGAAGAGAGAGATATCAGAGAGAACATTGTCAGGTATGATGATGAGGGTGGTGGAGAAGAAGACACCGAGGCTTTTGACATGGCTGCCTTGAGAAATCTCAACATCATCCGCGACACCAAGACCAGAAGGGATGTGACACCTGAGATTCAGTTCTTGAGCAGACCAACTTTTAAAAGCATTCCAGATAATGTCATTTTTAGGGAATTTATCTGGGAGAGACTAAAAGAAGCTGACGTGGACCCCTGCGCTCCACCCTACGATTCCCTGCAGACATATGCATTTGAGGGGAATGGCTCGGTGGCAGAGTCACTCAGTTCTTTAGATTCAGTCAGCTCAAACTCTGACCAAAACTACGATTACCTCAGTGACTGGGGTCCTCGCTTTAAAAGGCTTGCGGATATGTATGGGACTGGACCAGACTGCTTATACTCATAGCCTTGGAACCTTCCCCTGAATATGCACTGAAGAATACTAGAACAGTAAAGTCAACCTTACAGACTGAAGGAAGTTGTAAATATTTCTCCATTTTTAACCTTTTAGGGGTTTTTTTGTTTGCCTCAGTGGAACATATCTTCATTAGACTTGTCCTAGGGACTGCACTGACCACACAGAATATGAGCATTTGGTGGCATTTTTGATAAAATGAAATGCTCAGCCACGTTCAAATAGATAGCAACCCTCAGATACCTGCAGAGGCAACTCACTTTCAAGAGTATGTCATGCACTGTGACCTCAATGAGCCAATGATACTTTGTAGATGGATTTCACACTGTTGCTATATCCAGAGCACAGAGTCTCTGGCATGAGATAAGTGTAAGAATAAAGAAATTTAAAAATATAATATATCATTCAATACAACTCTACAATATATAATATTTACCAATACAAGGTTTTTTTAACAAATTTTCGTTACAGTGTTGCATGCAGCTTCCTAGGTGAAAGGCAGGATAGACATGAAAAGAAACAAAAGCCCAGCAGATCTTTTGTTTGTTTGTTTCTCTCTCTATGTTCTCAGAGCTACTTAATAAGAAATCTCTGTAATTTTCTAGGTAGTTTTATGAAAAATTACTGTTTGTAATAAGAAACTCAACAATGTTCATCATCAACTTACTGAAGTAGTTTACAAACCACATAAAATGAGAAATATGGAGGGATATTCTTATGGTTGAAAAGTTTTGTGATACCCATGTAGGTATAGAAAAGATGTTGCTATCTATTTGCTATTTTTTATTATCTCTTCTGATTTGTACAGGAGAATTTATCCTTTTTTATTATTATTTGACATAAAGTGTTATATTTAATTTGGAGCTCCAATCTCCACTAAATTCAGGTCTATTTTACTGCCTCATGGTTTAGACTTGACATAACATGCTGATTTTTCTCCAGTCTCAGATAAATGTAGGAAATGAAGCATGGAAATGGAGAAATTACAGTAAAGCAATCTTGCCCACCATTCATCTCTAAGAAAGGAAAGCAGCTACAAGGACATGCAGTTGTTCTTCTGAGACATTACAAAGTCTGAGATATTTAAATAAAATATTTGTACATTGGATTTTTGGAAAGAAGACTACAGAGGTAGCTGGGAGTGTCTTTAATGTAAGATTTAATTTTCAAAAAAAACATGCTATATGCTTCAAAGACTGTAAACACCTTGCTTTTCTCCTTCCCATTCTCTTTTGCTGCTGATGAATCACAGTAAAAGACTCTTTTCAGTTTCTTCCTTATGTTAAGCAATGTAATGCTATTAACTCCAGAAATCATCTTTAGATCCTGCTACACATAAGTATTTTTCCCCAAAAATGTTAACTCACTATACATAATTTCTACACTGGTTCAGGAGTGCCAAAACAGAAGGACAACTGCTGTTGGTTAAAATACTGTATGATTTTGAAGTAGGATTTCTTAGAATAAGAGAACTTTTTATGATTCTGACAATATTTATACTTCATCTTTCATGATTTATTACTAGATAACAAAACATATATTCAAGTAAAATAGTGGGTTTAAGTATTATTTCAGATTGTTTTGTTTTAGATAATCTGTCGATAGGTTCCTAAATTAATCTCTGCTCCTGCAAACTTTTTCCTTGTACCTAACTTGAAATGACTTGACTTTCCTGCAATTACTGAGAGACATACAGAACTGTTTGCAGGACTTTGTGAATAGAAGGTACTCCATAGAGGATGATGCTCACTCTAAAAGTACTTATTTCTGAAAGAAGGATCCTTGTACTAAAATCCTAATGTATGGGTGACACCAGGCTGGGAGATGGAAAATTATCATTAAGGCTTTGCAATTTTTGCAGCCCAGCATTATCAATTAACTATGTGAAAGTGGCCTTCAGCTCCATCAGAGAAAACAGAATAATTTTAATCATCTGCAACATATTTAATTTGAGTTACATTTTGGTAGACAATCATTGTTTCATAATTCAGTAGATTTGCTTCTAGTTGTATTAAATATATATATATAGGTGTGTATATATATATATATATACATATGACAGATTTTGTAATGGAACTGAAAGATATCGTCCATGACTTTTAGTTATACATGTAAGATTTTCAATAAAAAGTTTAAAAAAAAAAAAAAAAAAAAAAAAAAAAACAGAAAATGAACCATTTGTATGAAGTTTAATGAGAGTGAGATATGCTGCAGAAGTTAAGCAAGTATTAAATCAGCAAGGTGCTGAGAGAACAGTTAATCTCCTTGTTGTTCATGGAAAGATAATTCATGCATCTGGATTAAGATGTTTAAAAATGCTGATTTTAGCATATAACGCTCAAAGGAGATTTAAATGTCGTTTAGAGTAAACAACACAATTCCCTTTTTTTTCCACCTCTATATCTGTAAAATCCCAAAAAGCTCCTCTGTTATGAAACTATGTTAAGGTTTGTGTGTGTGTGTGTTTTCTATGGAAAGAAATATGTTTTAATGGCATAAAATCTCTTGCATATATATATTTTCTTTTGCAGTTCTAAAGTAATTGAGCAAATTTGTTGTTACATTATATATGCTTACCTACTGATTATATTATTGCAGTAAGAAAGAAAGAAAGAAAGGTGGAAATCCCTTATATTTGACGACCGATATTACTATATTATATACATATAGTATGCATAATACACATATTATATAATGCTCTCCATAAGTTACCATGACTATATGTTTTCACAGTTTATAATCTGATTCAAATTCCTTCTTTGAGTGTTATTTAAATTTCATAGCCTGATGCCATAAAATATATTCTGTTGACTAAATAGTGTAAAGTATAAGAAACATTTTCTCTGTCCTGGAAAGGTTATGAAATTATTTGAGCAAATTAATTAGGCCTTTTTAAAAAGACTTCCTTTTTTTTTTTTTTTTTTTTTTTTTTTAAGAGCTCCATTATCTAACTAGAGGCCAGAAGTCCTCTTTAAAAAGTATGTCAAATATTAGAGTCACTCCCATCTTACAGCAAAATGCCAGCACCTCTTTCCTTCTCCATATAAAAATTGAATAGGCTTATTTTAAATTGAGATTTCCAAGAGCCTTGAAAAGCATATGATTTTAAGAGTGGTACTAAAACATTCCACGTAAAGTTAACTTGTTCGAAGAAGATTTAAGGCAAGACTCCTTATTCTGTTTTGACCAGAGTAAAACCTACCGAATTTAACAGAGTTAAACAGGGGGCATTCTGACTTACATTTTTTATTCAAAAGGATAAATTTAGTGTACTTACTCTAATAAGTTCTATTCACACAAAGACATAGCACAGGACTTCCTAACCCTACTAATTCTGATGGGTGGGTCAATACAATCACTGTAAGACTCATGAAATTTGATTATATCAATCAAAACTTCTCCTAAGAATTAAGGGAAAAAAAATAATTACTTAACTGTCACTTGTTTTCTTTGTTGTTTTGAAGGGGGGGGGGGGCAGGGATTCATAGGAATTTCCATTTAAAGTTAAAGTATTTTCTCATTTATTTTATCTATTTGCCCTCAGGGGCTGGCACTCATTAAAACCAAAATATTTCCTGTCCTTTTATCTTTTTAGAGATTTTGGATGAAAGCATGTTATGAACTACAAAATGGCAGCATCTTATTTTTATGGACAAGTACTCTTGTATGACATAAAGAAAAGTAGTAGTTTGTCATTATGAAAAAGAAATAAATATGCTATAAAGCTTACAATTACATTGACTTTTAAGATCGTTACAAAATTGAAAGAAAAACACAATTACCTATATCAAATCTAGTATTAAATTCTTGGTTGCAGCCTGTCACATGACTGATTTTATTTTTCTATATGTAGAATTTTTCACTACTTTAGAATCTATGTAGAGTGATCCTGGTTTGAGACAACATTGTATTCACCTCATTAATGTTACTTAGATAGGGTCAAATATATTTTTATTGGTCTGTGACTTTAAAAGCAAATTGTAAAAGATAAAGTGACATTATATTTATTTGACAGAAACAGGAAAGTGTATAAGTTGCAGTCTTAACTATGACATCACTAATTTTCCCAGATATATCCTAAGATATATTTTCACCCGAGCACGATTTCTGCCACACAAAGAATTCTTTCTCTGCTTAGTATCAGTGCAGTTAAAAATGTATTGTATTTTTTACTGGAATGTTTATTATGGATATCTACCTGCGGTTTTGTTCTTTGAACTAAGAGAATCACAGCACACAACAGGAATAATCTATTTCTTAGATGAAAGGAATGAAAAAAATATCCACATATAAATGTTATATTTTGCTTTGTGATTATATTGTAGCACTTCTCACAAAAGAGAAAAAAGAATCTTTCAATGTGTTACATAAAATCTGTGAAACCTTAGACCACACAATTGCAAACAGAAATATAGTGGTGAAAAAACTTTTACCTAATCATTCTATGACATGACATTGTAACGGAATCTTTATGTATCTAATCAAACACAATGAAAGCAGAAAACAGCACAGGAATTTCTTAGAAATCAAATTAGATTTGAAGCCACAATGGTGTATCATATACATGCTTCTTCTTTTATTTCATATGTGAGCGTGTATTTCCTAAAATTATATGCATATTTAAGCATTCCACCCACAACCCATTTATTTTAAAATACTTTATTTGACCAGAGAGTATTAAAAAAATTAATCTTACTCTCAAAGACTGTCTGTTCCCATTAATGTCTGATGTAGAGAAATAAAGTTTAGACTCAGGCAAAACTTTTAAGATTGCCTCCACAAGAAAAGGAAATTGTTTTCATATTTTGACTTCAAATAATTTAGAAGTTGTTAGAAGTGTTGCAAGGGCTACTATTTCCATGATGATTTAAAGCAATAGGCTATTTTATAATAAAATTGTATCAGATTGAAATTCCTATTCCTAAAAATGATGTAAAGTTTAATGGAGTTTAATATTTAATTGATTAACTAAGGTCATAAACCTACTGTGCATCATAGCATCAATGTGAATGCTGAACCAGGACTAGAAAAATGTTAAGGATTTTATTTTCTTCTTCTACTCCCCACCACCTCTGTCAAAGTCATATTTTTTTTTCCTTGTGCATCAAAACAATAATCACATTGAATCTAATTTAGACACAGTAGGGAAATAGATCTTGGTCTCCTCCTCACAAGAAATAAAAGACTATTTCCTAGGTCATTCTATTAAATTATTCCTGTCTGATAATGTTGTGACTCCTAGTCCATGGTATGAGAGACCTGTGAAGTTGTATTTTTTTGGGGGGGTTGTTTGTTTGTTTGTTTGTTCTTGCTTTTGGTTTTGGTTTTGTTTTGTTTTGTTTTGTTTTGTTTTGTTTTGTTTTGTTTTGTTTTGTTTTGTTTTGTTTTGTTTTGTTTTTAAAACTGGTATTCTTGGTGAAAAGCTTACACTTGGATGAGTTGACCTTTTTTTTTGTTGGATTTTTTGTTCTTTTTTTTCTTTGGTATAAAACATATCAATCAGGTATATCCTGACTTCAGTTTTGACTTCAAACCTACCCTTTTGTCTTCTGTTAGTAGCACAATAGAAAGTCCTGAGATGTTCATTCTCCTTGATGTCAAAAGGCTATGGAGAAAAAGCTAAACATAGCATCAACTGACTGTAGTGAAACTAATCTGTCACTTTCTTTAAACAGTAGCTCACAAACACTATAGTTAAGCTGCTGTTAACACCATTCAAATCATGACTTGGATCTAATATTACAACTTTAAAATATACTGTCATTTTCTGGCACTACTCTCAGCAATTTTTACACATTTAGCAAAATCAAATTTTAGAATTGTTAAGGTTTGTTACTTGTAGCTCAATTTCATCATTATTATTTATATCATGGTCTTGAGACACAGAAAAAGAGGGAAAAGTTACAAAAGTAAAACAGAACAAGTACAAAATACCCCTATGTGTACTGATTTTTAATGCAGTGTTTTAAAGATTGCTCTGCCTTAGTACTCCTAAATACATTGGTAGCTTTTCCTCTCATGGAGACTAGCTACTCATTAATTAGAATAAGTGTGACATCCAGTCAGATATTTAAGCCACATTAGACCACTTGAGTCTGACAGGAATGGTCAGTCTGAATTTTAATGTCCTTATATATTCTTAATGATCAAAACTTCCTTTATTATTAATACACTGTTGAAATTATATGGAGAAAGAAGTGTTTATTGATTCACTTAAAAAATTATTGGTGAAATCCTGATCATGTTGAAGTACTTGGCAGATCTCTCTACGGCTTTCAGGATGTGTCAAGATTTAGACATAGGGAAACCGATAAATGACCACATACAGCATCAAGACAAGAGATTGTTGCTTTGAGCTGGATACCCTTTCTAGTTACACAATCTCTTCTACTGACCTTTCCTTTCTAGAAGCCACAGTCTGCATCTTTTAATGGTAATGCAAATAACTTAATAAGATGTTTTTAATGGCATAAACTATTTACTTACTATGAGCATAATACACATAGCCTTGCTGTAAGAAACAGTACCCTTGCTCATAAAGATCATTTCTGTGCACATGATAAACACAGTGAGTGTTACAAAAGGTTTGTTTACACTTGACAAAGTGCCAATGGTGAGGTGCTGACTGGAGAAAAAAAAACAAAAGTTCTTCTCCCTAAAATTAAGAACATATAGAATTTCCAAGCTATGAAAATCAAATTATTATACCTTTCCTCAGAATGTGTGACAACCTGTAGCTTTATTGACTTCTATGACTGTAGATAAAATCCAAATGAATCACAACCTTCCAGTTTTGAAATATGTTCTCTCACTGTTGCTTGAGATTTTATTAACATAGAAAGGGACTAGAGCAACAAAATGACAGAGACAAGATTTTCCTGGTGTTTTTATTGCTTCATACATGACCTAAAGATGTGAAAAATAACATTTTACTAGATGCTACTGGAATACAATTTCCTCTGAGCTAATAATGTTTCCATCCTGTGGAATAATATCTTACAACACTCTACAATACTTGGCCTGGTCTCATTTTCTTATTAAAATATAAAGAAAGAACTATTAAGGAGAGAGACTAAGTATCTAAGTGATAAGCTTAATAATAAATTTGCTATTCCTCAAAACATTAAGTTTACCTAGTTTATGTGTGGTGAACACATCAATGGAGCTCTCATAGGACATACAACCTGTTGATGCGGTTATTATTTCTGGATGGATTTTTCTTCATATTTTGTTGTCCTTCAGTTTCTAGTAGAGTTTGGTTGCGACATATAGAGAAGACTTAGAGTGATGAAAAAGTGCAGTATATTTACCTCCAAGGACGTGAAGATTCAAGCAGTGTAAAAAATAATTTCTTTAAAACAGATTAGTGTAAACATTTATTCTCCCCCTTTCTCCTCTTCTCTCTCTTTCCATCCTGTCCCCTCAAAGATAATATATGACACTAAAGCTTTTGATAATATATCATTCTGCTGCTTTGGGTACACATTCATTATTTTTTTTGTAGTAGTCACATGTAGAAGGTGAACGGAGAACATGACAGTGTCAAAGTCAAAGCTTAGGAATTAGGAAAAAGATTTAATAACTTCCTACTCTTCTCTTATGACCTTGACAAATTAGCTTTGATGTAGAGCTATGATTTATCTTTCAGTATAAATTCTTATATGATAACAAAATAATATGAAAAATTGATGTTTAGTAAGAGCTGATCATGAGAGAAATAGATTAATATATTATGTATGACATTTTTTTTTTTTTTACTGCGGCATAGCACAGGTCAATACGCTTTATTTGGACTCAAAGATTAATGTAGACTGACTTGGCTCATGCTCAGAACATTTTCATGAAGGATTTTTAATTCAAATAACTACTGTGAAACATGGGGTTGTTTCAATCTTCAAAAGCCACAGTTCCTTGGAAATAAGCAAAGTTAACCAACACTACAGATCTCTTGTCCTTCTAGGAACAGGTAGATATATACAGAGGAGAAAGAAAGAAGATTTTAGAATTTAACACCTGTAGTGAATACATACTATCCAATTGACTACAACTGAAAGCAGGACAGAAGCAGAGGATTCTTTCAATGGCATGCATTAGAATCAATCTCATTTAACCAGTTATTGTCATATCTATAAAGAGTTGTCTTACTTTAGTTTGGCCTTTGTGCACTATGAAAAAAAGAACTTCAGAAACTGAAAATATTTCTGTTGTCTTCTGGTTAATCTACATTAATGAAGAGGTCAGGCAAATACGTACCAAAAATGTGGCTGACTGGTAGGCTGTTGTCACCTACAATATAGTTAAGATGGATGATATGTGGCGACCATGCTGAATGACAATGTCTTGCTGTCTCATTCTTCATCCTTTCCTGTATATAACCACTGATCATTTCTTTCTCTAGTTGTTATCTACCTAGAGGAAAGTTTTATCTTTTTGAATTCTCTCTGTATGGTTCTTCATACAATTGGTTACAATGATTAGGTCTTCTAAACAGAACCACAATACTACAGTTACTCTTACTGCCAATAATAATGATGCTGTTGAAAAGAGACATTGTTGGTATTGGAATCAGAATATCAATTTATCTGCCCAGCTTTGTCATCGATCTGCTCTGTGACATTGGTTGATTCATCTGTCTCTGTCATTTGTTGATAGAAAGGCCTGAAGAGGAACAGAATGTTGACAATATTTTGGAGAATGAAAATAGTATGGTAACATTTATGTGTGATTTTTGTATGTTTGTTTGTTTTCTCTCTTAAATTGAAAATATGAAATATACTTGTGGACATAATCCAGTACTGGCATAAGTCTAGAGTTAACCATTCCTGAGCCAACGTCAGCAACAACATAATTTCAGTGTTGTATATGGGATGGCAAGGGAGCATCAAGAGATGAGCATTCCTGGAAGTTATTTGTCATTTGGAAGGCATATGAATGAAGTATGATAGTCATACCAGTGGGATGGAACATTGTAGAAAAAAGCACAAATAAAGGCTGTTAATACTTTCATTTCATACATCTTGTGATCCATAATGTTTCAGACAAAGAAGGAGAAATTGAATTAATTTGCTTATCCATTCTGTCTTTGAAGTGTTCTCTCAAATCCACAGTGAAACAGTAATGTATAAATATATTGGAGGCCTAGTATACTTTGTTCTGAACTAAAAGAAAGCTTCCTATCCTTCTGTTGAGTATACAAGTAGATAAAGACAAATACTTAATCAATGTTTTTATATGGAAGAATCCATATTTACAAGTAACTAGGAAAGATTTTGAGAATATATATTCCTCTCAGCTAATTCATTTCAACACCTGAAGGTTGTTAAGTATCTTTGTAAACCTTATGGTTCAACTAAACTGGGATTAATAAATATAAACTTTATTGACATAGAAGCTCTATCTGAGGAGGTAAAATTAATTCATCCTTCTTTCCATTCAATCATAAAAAACCCCAGTGGTTTTGTAAATGTAAAATCTGTTCTCCCTTTAGAAATGAGAAATTAAAGGCTCACTCAATAGCAAGTTATACAGGTAAAGCAACGTATGGGAAAAGTTAATGGTCTTGAACAGACTACCTCATCGAATAATATCTCTAAGATTTATCTGCCATGTGCATCAAGAATCACTGCTCTGTTAGAAACTCAAAATGGAGGCAGCTCAGGTAAGCGATCAACATCTTCAGTAACAAAACAGGTTTTGTTCTTTCACTTTCTCTCTATAATGGTGGATGGAAATGATATAAATGATTAATACAGAAAAAAAAATGATACATTATTCATTTTAAAGGTGATCGTACTCTTCAAAAACATTCTGTGTGAAATAATTTAACAACATTCAGTCAAATACACCTGGACTGCTCAAATTTTTGCTGAGTGAATTAAAAAGGATACTAATACTCTGAAACCAAAATTATTTTCTAAAGTAAATGAGATCTCACAGAACACATGTTCCACTGTTTGTTTTCAACATGGTTAAGTGATAAAAAGTCAGGGAGACAGAAGACATATGAGTTCATAGAGCTGAAAGAAGACTTTTTGTAACTACAGAAGCTGTTTTATTTGTCATCTAGTAGCTCAGAATTTGTGTAATATAGTGACAATAATTTTGTACTAGGGCAGCAGTGAATTGACCCAGAAAACAATATAACATTTCAGTGAATGAGGCCAAATTCAGATCTTCAAAGGTATTTAAACAGATGATCAA